CACGCCCATAGGCTTGTAAAAGATTCTACCCGGGAGACATTCTATGTGAGTCCAAAGTTTGTAACAGAACTTCTTACGCACCCTGTAATACAGTCCTTCTCCCTCGTGATGGAGAAACCCATTTCCATGTCGTCGGCATATTTCATAATTTTCTCGCGATGCCTCAACGATGATCTGAAGTCTAACTAAGTCTAAATTTAAGAACTCGGCGTGGTTCCCTTAATCCAACTTATTCGTCACCGATTCATAAAATTCGGGCAAATCTGTGAGAGAATTTCGTGGTCTCCTCCCGTCGCAATAAAAATCCCAAACGAAAAAGTTCTCCTCCACATGATTTATCCCCCTCGGACCCTCCCCCTCCCCCCATTCACGCCGGTAGCGAGTTATTTAACACTTTAATCTCCGAGGGGTAAAAGGGGTTGTGGGACTTCCCAAAGGCAACATGTGACAAGCCGGCGTTTCACAACCACGGTCCACCGTCACATCACGGTCATTTCTGGAAGGTATTTCCGAAACATTCTGGGCTTTTTGGCTGCAGTTTTTGTCTTAACGTAGCGGTTATTTCACTCATTTAAGTCGAATTTCCATCTTGATTTTGCTTATTATTTTTTTTTAGTCCCTTTAGACTTCAACCGCAAATGTCTCACATTATCAATGCATAATTTTTTTGTTACCGTAATGAGTAAAATGAATGTCCATTACATTTAATTTACTTACTTTCTCAATATAGCACCAATCACGCTGTTTTATCGTAATAAAGCCACGCACACTCCTCAGTATGTGTTTCATGCGAATAAAAGCACGTCAATATGTTAAAAAATTAGGCTAGGAATAGTCTGGCACTGGCGTGTGTTTCCACGGATTAGGGCAAATTGTGCTGGAAATTGGTAACATTTGAAGGAACAAGGTACTCATGGAACTTCAGAGGAATGTGAAGAGACAGACTTGATAGCGCCAAGAACAATAGAAACCCTGCTAAGTATCTGAAAGTCTCTGACACGCCGGTTGCCACTCGTAGTGGTAGGAATGAGTGATGATGACCCGCCGGCGTGTAAATGGCGGTCAACTTCTTAACTGAGGGCTACTGTGGTCATAAAATATTCGCCAAATTCATGCCAGAAAGTTTTGCCTATGGTCACACTTTCATTTCTCGACGAAAGTAAATCGAGTCACGGAAGTAAGTGGCTGCAATGTGTCCGTGAGCATTGCGAGTCTCGCCGACGCACCGTCATCGCACAGATCACGCATAGCGCAAGGTTAATTATGAAAGGTGATGTCCTCGAAATATTCACCCTGACACCCGTTTCACTCCAAAGTCACTTGTAAATGGAAGCAGGAATATTACTACACGTCAAGAGTGGCACAGAGGAATCACAGAGTCATCGCTAAAAGGCAACGGACATCCGAGCACGACCGGACTCAGCCAAGGTCCCGCACTCGTCCCGCCTCGGGATCGAGAAGGAGGCTAATAAGGAAGAGGGCTCGACCGCGGGGAGGCAGGGCATTCACCCGAGCGGTGAATTTCTTGCTCCCTGCAGGCCAGTTTCACTTTTCAGTTTCACTTTTCCTCGTAGGCTTCGGGTCTTCCATGGGATCTATCCCACAACGAGCTTGGAAATGACGTAGTCGGTTTGCCTTCTCTCTCCTTTGGTTTTCCTCTGAGCACCCTAGAGCGAATTGAATATCATAAAGGAATTTATTAGGGCTGCAGATCAGGCTAATAATTTACTCAATTAATCGTAACCTTTCATGGATGAGACGAAAGGGATTGAAATTCCATTCATCGATGGCATTGATTAATTTCAATCGAACCTCTTCATTCCTCATCAAATGGGATGAGTGAAAGGAAACATGCTCGTAAATTCAAGTTGATTCTGAGCTGTCTCTACTAACCGGCATGGCTCCAATAGTTAATAGGGTTGAACCCAACGAGAGGATCTTCATCGGGTCGATTTTAATATGGGCACAATGGCTCTGGGTCGAATATTTTCACCCTGAGGGTCCATGCTGGTTGCCTGGGATCCCGGCTGCCTTCCCGGGGAAACGAGAGCAAAAAAGAAAATTCAGAAGCACGGCCTGCAATCTTTCTTTTTTTGCCTTTTCTTTCGTCAATTCTAAAAGGGACCCGAGCCTGTCGGTTCTGGCATATTCTGGACTCGAAAATATGCCGTGCTTCGAGACCTATATCAAAAAGGGGTGGGTGGGCTGCGGGGGCTTCAACCTCCCCAAGTTTGGCTCTAGCCCCCCAACTAAGGTCTAAATCCATGCCCAACCCCCCCCCCCCTCCCCCTCCCGATCTACGTCACTGACCTTCATGCTTCCCTTGTCTGATGGCTCGTTGAAACAACTCGCGTGAGAGCCTTACGCCAACCAGTACGCTCTTTCTTCATTGAAATATGGTCTCACCACTTTCAATGGGAAAACCTGAAATGAAACGGACCAGATGAAAGACGATGGTTTCGATACGCTCGGAGCGTTTACTCATATCTCGAATGAGAAAAATATTTCCTCGCGGATTAGTATGGCATGGCTTGCAGTATGGAGATATCTTCTCCCCTTCGGTTCGCGAATATCGTTCGAGGCGAATCGAAACGATCCGATTCGATCTGGAACGGTGTGTGGCCATCCAAATTCCTGCCATCCTTAACGGGAGAGTGATGCGATCCGAGCCCTGGATGAACGGCACGTGGAAACAAATCGAGTTAGTACGGTCATAAGAGGACGAGAGCATGAAAATTCGATGTCGAAGAAAAGAGTGCACCCTGCTTAGGGTGCTCCCTTGGAGGGGTTAGTCTTTGGGGTGCTTCCGAATCTCGGTGCTTTTCCACTCTGCGTCGTGTCTGCATGCCTCCTGTAACCAGACGGGATCGTCTATGCCAGTGGTGCTCAATCGGTGCGCTGCGGCACACTGGAAGGCTTAGGTATGCCGCCCAAAAAAAAGAAAGTCGAGAACCAATGATCTATGCCATTGTCCCCACGGTGTCCAATTCAATCGCCTCAGGCCATCGAAGATGGGACGACGGACGATGAAGATACTATTGATGATTTCTCATCCGCTTTGCTGAGACGTCTTGACTTTGCAATTTGCAATTCAATCACGGCATCTTCGCAGGCTTTTCCTCAAAGGAATTTTTCAGGGAGGAAACCGGAGCGAAATACTATTTTTACTCATTGCAAAATTAAGCGGCTCCAAGAAGGAGTTGAGCGATCTTGATGAAAATCGTCACTCAGCTCGTAGAAGCGTGCCATGAAATCGATTAGAATTTCAAGTATATAATTCAGAGAGAAACTTCGCGAAAACGGTTGTGCAAACGGGAAGGTGGAATTGATCTTCCGACCCTAACCACCAGAAGGAGCTCGTTAGGACGGGAACTCTTAAATGTGTGTCGGAATGTGGATCAAATCGTTTCACCCAAAAAAAAGGAAAACGGGATTTGGAGAAAGTTTAGGGAACGAGACTGAAAATCGCTCAGATTGGTTTCTCTTCTCTTCGGCGATTTTTGGGCACGCATTTAAACTACTCTTAGGGAAAAAAAGATGGATAGGCGTTCTTTTGTTACTTTCTTCGGCGAGATCGATCCCGTTTTCTTGTGCCACATGGTCAGAGGTGGATCTTGAGATGAATCTTCTGGTCGTAATTAAGCCAACTCGTTTCATCCAGCAGTATTAAGAGGATAAACCTAATCGCGATATGAAGCAGAAAGGACTCGTGATTTAGAGCTAATTGCGCCAAGGAACTAGATTAGAGACATCTATGAGATTTGTAATGGCCTTACGACAAGGAGACTGCGACGAAATAGCGACACGACCAGAAGGGCATGCGACGAAAAGGCCGTCTGTGACAACGAACGGGACGAAGATCATAAAATGCAAATCTCAAACGGTTCATTCGCGGATTAACCTGTTGGGAGAATTTTGTCGCTCCGCCGTCGCGACGGTGGAGCGACAAAAATTGCCTCTTTGAGCGGCGGGCTGAAAGCAAGTTCCAAAACCTTTGGCTACTGTGAAATCTCATTTAAAATCTCGTTTGAGTATATTAAAAGATAACTGCAAACGACCTACAATGAAAAAAATGATGATCGTGTGGAACCCATTTCCTTTTTGCAGGTGACTCATGCCGTTCATCCGATGCTCAAGCGACTTTCATCGATTAATATGGCGAATGCACGTCATGCATCGTCTTAGGTTAGCGCGAGTTCTCACGCTGACCACTGTTCATCGATTTTCACTGGCTTCCAAAAGAAACGAGGTTAATTAAGTCCTTTGCTGACCCTTTGCGAGAACCGCCTCGACGAGTACTCGCAAACCTTGCGGGGCAGGTACCGAGTCGGGAAAATCCCAATTCCAGATTTTCTCCTCGCCGTATGTAAAGTCCACATTTCCATGAGTTCCTTCCACGGGTTCATTCCACTGCGAATCTTAAACCGACTCCGAAAAACATGAGGGATATGCCACGGTCGACGCAGCAACACGGGCACCGGGCGATTAAAATGCTAGTGCTCATCGAGTTGTTGCCCGGCGATGGGAAAATGCGTATCGATCGGCACACGCGACGGTCGAGGACCGACCGATCCGACTCTTTTGCGACGCAACCACCCATCATGTGCATGTGCTCCTTTCCACCTATTTGCATATCGTGTCTAGATGCATTCGTCCGGGCAGTCAGTTGCGCAGTGCAAAAAGGAGAAGCAGATTTTTCGTGCACGAACGAGTTCTTGCGGGAATGTTTTGCTTCGAGGGAACTCTGCTGGCGTGATTTGCGACGAATCGGTGAAACTTGGACCCTTCTCGAAACTCATCGCATATTTTCGTCGATCGTAGTGAAGATTTCCCACCAAAATGGACCAACTAAATTCTTCCACGCTCGCACCTGCGATGAAGGTAAATGTCAAAGTGCAAATTAGGTTCGTGGTGGGCCATCGCAGAAAGTATTTTGATATTTAGGATAGCATTTTTTAAGTGTAAGTGCAAGGTACATAATAATAAAAAATAATTTCGTTCTCCCAGAGAAATTGTCCAAGATTCTCGCCTAAAAAAAAGTATAAACAGGTGACACAGTGTCCTTGCCGATGTCCTTGATTGTCCTTGCCACATCTCCGTCTCTGCTGTATGTACGCTTAGGGGGTTACGTTTTCTGTTACTGTTGAACGATACTACAATATTTAATTTCTTGCTAAAAGGAAAGATTGTAATCTTGTTCATAAAATTTAATCCGTGTGAGGGCCTTGGAAACTGGAGTGGAGACGGAACATCCCTGGGATTAAAACGGTTACTCCCAAAAGTTCCTACACCTACAATTAAGGAAATTCACCTGCATTTGCAGGCGAAAAATGTGAAATATTTGGAGTGACTCTCGTGCATGTCCCACTCGTACAATTAAGAAATATGACGTCAGAAACTCCCGGGTTTTGACAAGGAACTTTACTTCCGTGGTTCCATTGGAGCTTTTTCCCCCCCAAGTAATATTAATCGTTAAAGACAAAATGAATTAAAGGAATGAAATTATTATTAAATGAAATATGTGAACGGCAGAGCGACCGGACTCCGTAATTGCAGCATGAGAGAGATATCGTTGCCTGCGAAAATTACAAAATTACAAAATTACAAAATTACAGTGCAAGCAAATTACTCTTGAAGGAAGCCGCACTGAACCTGATGGCCCTCCCTTTTAGCATGGAATCGCGCCCGAATTTTTAAAGGGATTCCTTTTTCTCTTCATCTCTAATTTCTTCTGAGCCTTGTCTCGTAATTATTTGCTCCATCGTGGATTCAAACTGCTCATCGGTGGGATGGGAGTCCTACTTTGCACATGTTACTGTAGGGCCATTCCATGTCAACTGACCCTCGACCACCAGAGAAAAAATAGAGAATTTGAAAAATTAAATCTTCTCATGTGAGACTCCATAATCCGAAATATTTGATTTTCCTTTTCTTTGGTGAAGGAAATGAGTTTTTGAAAATATCTGTATTCAGGCAAACGTGACAAACGTTTCATGAAACCTGAATTACATGCTTTTCTCAAAGTGTATTCATTTTTCAGAATTTCACCACCCATTTAACTTTTGTGGGAATCAAAGTAGCAAAACCAAAAATGCATTGCTAAGAGTCCACCTTTGGTTCAGTTCTTTGATATGAATATTATTTGGTTCTTTTCATTTCCACATGTCGAAAATGAAAGTCGAATCTCCCATTTTTTGTGATTTTCGTAAACTTTGACCTCATTTTTACGATGTGGGGGTCCAGATGAAAATGTCTCGTTTGTCATGTGAAAGAGCATTTCAATATCTATTTGACGACACGAGTTTCGTTCTGTTACAGTCACATATCGAAACGTTATGAATTTTCTAATGTTGTTCGGTCGTGGTCTTGGCTCTCGTCAATATGACCTCCAATGAAAACAGGTTCAATTGATTAATTTATATTATATTAATTATTTTATAGCATTCTTATTATGGTATTCCTTTTCCATAAAATTAAGTTGCAGCGGGACTTATTGTGTCCTTACTTGTAATACGTCTGCTTTATGTTCATCTAATGCTACTTTCATATTCCGTCAGGATTTAAATACCACATGGTCCCTTACCAAGCGATGCGGCAAAGAAATTCCATGAAGCATCTAACTGGAATTCTTGCCAACGGAGGACAAGGCTTCTCAAGTTCCTTTCAGTTTTTTTTTGTTTTTTTTTCGTACAGGAAGGCAACCCCAATTAATGAAGTAATGCAACTTCTTGATGAATGGGCGGCTCTGCTTGAAACGCCTGAGAAACGCCGTCTGGAAGATACCCTGCAGCAGCATCATATTGCTAGCGGTCAGAAATGAAAGCATAGCTGCTCATTCCAAGATCTGCTGGTGTCGATCGATGATTAACTACAATGGGGTGAACTGTAGCTTGGGTGTTGTTCCACTTAAAGGAACGTTCTTCATCTTGCAAAACGATTCTATATTTTCTTTGGAATTCATTATCATGAAGCCTTATGTCATTTTCCCTTCAGTGAAACCGAACAGTGGAATCTGGAATGGTAACAAGATGCTGCTAATTGCATATGTGTAACCTAGGACAATTAGTTTCCTGTTTCGGCTACCTCATTCAGTAGTTAAGCCTTAGAAAGTAATATCAGATGAACACAAAGGCGAATTGGATCAAAATGTATGAAGCAATTGTAATTCAAGTAAGGGTGCAATTAGTCCAGCAGCAACTTAATTTTATTGAAAAGAAATACCATAAGGAGAATACCATGAAATAAATTATAGAATAGAAATTAAGCAGTTGAACCTGTTTTCATATAGACTATAGACGAGAGCCAAGACCACGACCGAACAACATTAGAAAATGCAAAACATTTCGATACTTGCCTGTAACAGAAAGAAACTCATGCCATCAATATATTGGAATGCTCTTTCATATGACATATGAGTCATAGTATTTTCATATGGACCGCCACATCGTAAAAATGAGAGTTAAGAAAGTCGCTCGAGAGGGTCAGACGTGCCTGAAGAAATATATTTTCATAATACATCTCATTTACCAGCGGAAAGAAAAATAAAATATTTTGGATTTTAAAACGTTTCATGTAAGACCTTTCAACGCTGAAAATTTTCAATTTTTTTTTAAGAAGTCGAGGGTCATTCCTCGGTCAGTTGGTACGGAATGGCCCCGTAGAAACGTTAAACCAGTCCAGGAAGAGACCCAGGAGCATCCTCCGACCTCGGCTGTTTCCTCTTTCTCAGATGGAGACGAACGGAACGACTGGAGTCTTGGCGGGGGGTTTCGTCTTCACCACCCTCTTATTCCTCCAGGATCTCATCTTCATGGAGACCGTCTGCAGCACGAGGCACAAGGGTCAGCACCTGCATTTCTTATAGGCAATATTTTAGTGAAGCCACTCTCGAGCATATTTAATCCTGTAACTATCCCTTCTTGATACAATGGACCCAGATACAAAAGTTTAGCCACTTGCACCGTAAACTTGAAAATCCGATACTCAGTGTATTTTCATGAAGATATGCAATAGTGGTTAGGCGAAGTAATTTCAAAAGATTTTTTTGGAAATAAAGAGATGAAACGAACAGTTAAGCATATGACCGTCCGGGTTCTGGTAGCAAAAGGGTTAATCAACGTGTCACGATCAGAGTCGCATAAATTGAGCATAGAAAATCGATGGCTTAGGAAGAACGAACGAATCAGCCTTACATCATACAGTAAGAGGCATGGGCGGCCTGACGACTTGAAAAAGTCCCAAAATAAGTTTTATTCGTGGATTGTCATATGAACCGTAACACCACGTTTCTTCCTAATTCTCTGACGCTGCGAAGGAGATGGGGGGCATTGTCATCAAGCTCAGGTAAGTCTCCTTCGCGTATGATTTATTTTCTACAATTTCATTACTCATTGTCGCGTACTCCATTTCAGTAGTAATCACAGCACTTTCTGAAATAGCAATCTTGCTATTTATATAATATTTATTGGAACAACTGTCCCACAAACCATTCTCAGGAAGATTTCAGTTCAGCAGACATTTCGAGCCTTAGGGAATACATTTTGATTGATAATAAAAGACAGAATAACTAAATTCAGACGGTACAAATTATTTCTAAAAGGATGCGTCGACAGAGAAAACTTTGAAATTCACGCCAAGACGGTGTCTGATGCGAATCCACAGTCACAATTGAGTATACACCTGGACCAAAGCAACGCCGCCCTCGAGAAATTCATCGACAATCTCCAACGAAACGACTGGACGCACGAGGAGGATCACGGGGACATCTCCACCTATTCCCGATACGATCCCGAGTTGAAGAGGAAAATCTACAAACTTCAGGTCAGAACTCCAAAAATTCGTCTGCAATTCAAGTACGTTCATCAACATATTTTTTAAAACCCTGCAGACTATCCTGGACTACGACTACGAATGGGCCTTCAGACAGACCTGGATGACAGTGCCAGATTCTCCCTTGTGGAACGAGGACATCCGCGAGGGAGAGGTCCTCAAGGTATTCCTTTCTTTCTGATCATTTCCTTGTTGTGAGGCAAGAAGTGCTCATTGCTTAGGTTGAAAATGCAAAAGTTCGAACGAAAGTAAAAAAAAAAAAAAAAAAACAGGTACATTTTCAGTTTGTACGTGCAGTTTGTAAGTACATGTTCAGTTTGTGTTCGGCACTATTTTGATGCATTTGCTCTAAAAAATTTTAATCGCGTTTTCGACACAACTGTGACGTCTTGTAGTGGTTATCTACTGTGCGATTTAAAAGTGACTGACGCCCTGCGTGATAGTGGAATTTTATTAAATCTACCCGGAAGTAAACATTACCCATAATTCATGCGAACATGTTACCTACTTGATGCTCACGCTGTCGCGCAGAACTGCAATCATATTACTGCCGCAGGAGATGACTTTTTTTATTTACCGGCTCCAAGGGTTAAGTACTTCATCGGTTTCATGCTTCTAAAATATCAGACTTCCCATAGGAAGATGTCACCATTTGCATTCACACTCATTGAAACCGCAGTGAGACTGAGTCACGATTGCTATGAAACATTCACCTAGCGTCAAACACACGCTGAGTGACAGCATACAAAGGAAGAACTTTTCTTCATTTTGGCATTTCGCGTTTCGTTTCGGCATTTTTGCGGATGGCTCTGTAAAGGTCGTTTCCGAATACAACCATTTTTCCTTCTTGATTAGTTCTCCTTTCCAAGAACGATTTGAATTCGATATTATTGTGAGTTTATGTTCTCTGAGGTGTCTGTTGATTTTATAAAAAAATTAAAGGCATTTTTAAACTTGCGAAAATCTGTAATATTTTAATATGCTCTAGTGTACAAAATGAGCATCGGAATACTTTCTGGGAATATAAACATAATTTAATAAAATTTTCTCAAAACACAGTAGCGAATTGAAGTATTTCAACACTCCCTGAAATATACGAATCACGGAAAAAAAAACTCCTATACGTCCATGAAATGCTTGTGAGTTTGGGTAGAACTACTGATTGAGACTTCGTCGTCATAAAGCCCTGAACACGTTGACAAAGCAGCATGAGGCAAGAAGGAAAGGCTATTGACCTCATCAATGAAGCTATCCTCTTTCATTGTATCGTCTCATTCCCTAGCCTTAAAATTTCCGCGATATTCCATCATTACGAGTATCACAGTTTATCATTAAGAGCCAGGAAGAGGTTCTTTCTGGGAGAGACTAGAAGGACTCACCTGAATCGATCTTGAATAAAAATTTTCTCTTATTATATGTGAAAAAAGTAAGGATATCCTCGAGTACAAAACATTTGACAAGAAAGAAGCCAACAAATTGTTGATCGACAGAACCTCAGCGAGAACTGCAGGGTGTTCCATGCCGTGACTAAACCTCAGACCTTTGGGTTCGTATCCAGTCGGGACTTCGTGCCCATAGAGTCCTATAGGAGACTTGGAGAGGCCTATTTCTGGGGTATGTCCAGTGTCACCTGGCCGGACTTGCCACCTCTTCAAGACGTAGTCAGGTTCGTCCACTTTGCCTTCCCAAAGCGTGCATTTTCCAGCCCTGAGAATGTGAGTAGGAAACACGGAATTGTTCCGTTTCAGGGCCCACGTGAGTCCAGGTGGAGGATTTGCGTTCGCTTCTTATGGAGAAGACAAGAAGAAAACCCTGTATCAGCTGATTCCCATCCTGGACATCTACATTCCTTTGCTGCCACGAGTGGTCGCAGACAAACTGGTCTGCGCCGCTCAGAGGAACTTCATCATTCGACTGAAGACCAGACTGTCTTACTTGCATTCCTCCCTCCCTCTCACTGTCTGACCCTAATGGAACATGCCGACTGCGGAGCAGTTACACGCGGTACAGCGGCGTTCTCTTTCACGTCTCTACGAGGAATGCGTGGTCAGCTGTTGATGCCTGAAGCATCAAATAAATGACGCTATGGACAGTACTGAATTTTATTATCAGCCGAAACGTGTTTGTGCCACATTTCCTTCGCATAATCTCAATTTATTCCATTAATTCACGGCCTTCACAAGTAAGTATAGGAATGATCATCCTTGAAAAGCTGAAGACAGGAAATTATTATATTTTATAGTATTTACGGATATTTGCAGACGGGACATTTTACAATATCAATAACAAACATTAAAGCTTGTTTTTTTTGTCTGAAACAAGTTTCTCCATATTTTCAATGTCAAATATTGAATATATACCCGCAATGTATAACACTGCCATGTCTTGCCCCTCTCTTCGAACTATACGTCGCCTATGGATCCGTCAGCTACAATGACTGCAAGGGCACCAACGTCTCCGGCTGGAGAGATGACAAACCAACTTGAGCTGAATCCGGCGCGTGCACTTTATGGTCAAGATCCATGAAAGGGTGACAGTTGTCACAAGCGAAGTGCGTTCATCCTGTGCCCATTTTGAAGGGCGTTTCGAAGGCGGAATGGATCTTGGCAGTTCACGGTGAGTGTGTCTATAGAACTGAAAAATGGTTTTTAATGCAATGATTTATCGACTTGTATGAAATATGAGCGACTCAATGGTTCATTAATCATGTGGAGTAAATGTAAATACTGTATTAAACGTCCCTTGGTTTTTGCTCCTTGAGAAGAAAGCCCATCACGAACGCAAGATTTTCTGAAGGCTTCATTATTAAGGTCCCATGGAAGGATATAACTGGTTTCTACAGAGTATTCCGAAAGTTTTAAAGCCGCCCACCCAAAGTGTGGGTCAATCAAGCCCCGGTGTAGAAAAGGTCGTCTACATGCAGGCCTAGAAGAACAGGTCTGGAAGAAACTACCAAGGAAATGGCCGGACCTTTACCACCCGGACCACCTGTGGCCCAGGTTCCAAGAGTGTGCTCAGCGTTGGCTCCACCCCATAAAGCGGACGTCTGTCATCACCAGGGTTCCACGTGGAGTGAGAAGCAATCGCAACGAGTGTCATCCGTCGGTTGGTTGAGAGCTTTGGGACGTTCGTGCAAGGCTCCTGGAGGGGCGCGGAAGTCTATTTCTAGTTACGATGCCGGAGTTAGTATCTGGGGCATTCTTGGCCGTGTGGAATGCAATTAAATTTAGATGTTCGCTTTAATCTCGTCTCTATATTTTAGTGGGTCGGAAATTTTCGGACTCCGGATAATAATAACTCTGGATCAAATGCAGTTTCCCCATCTACTGCAAATATACAGTATTCCAGGTCAGTGAAGTCGCTGGCAATCGCGTTCATGAGCTGCTAAACTCCAAGCAACTGCATCGTTTCCAGACACTCATGGCCCACGTCTCGTGTATGCCTTCTACTGTGAAGTACGTTCCGAACCGAGGTCCCGTTCCGTTTAGTGACTGGTTCCTCCTTAGGAACTGCGGACTGGGTTAGTCGACGTCGAAAGCATGGGACAGGGCGTCAGGAGCCTGAGACTTATTTTCATTTTCCTGCAATCCATGTCGCACTTCTAAATTCCAAACTCATTAAAATACCGTCTCTGCACTTGTCTGGCCTCACATTCTAGGATCATCCTGGCCCAAGGACATTTAAATGACACTTGGATTTGATCGAGTCCCCATCCCCCCTTCCCACTTTATCATAGGACCTCTGTTCAAAGTCCATTTTCAGTACTACGGTCTTTGATGTGGACAATAAGACGGAATGGTAAAAATGTGCAATTAAAAAAGCTAACCACATAAACCTAGATGCTCCACAAATTTCGTGTATTGATTAAAATTGCAGAGTTTAGTGGTTCGGAACTCAGGGGCAAAGAGGGGCAAGATGGACCACACGAGAAAAGCAGCTTAATTCTTTCCAAATTTGGCGAAAGAATCGATCTTTGCAAGGTCGAAAGAAATGGGAGGAAGCAGTTCTGAGCTTACGGTTCAACCCTGTTCATAACAGAGTGCGGTTCCTTTTCTTTAATCATTTCTCGGATCGATTCTTCACCAACTTGGTGAAGAGAGCGCGTTTACTCTTTTGTGAATCCTCGCCTATATCGCGTTAGCATGTAGGGCTGCTAATTCAAAAGCCACTACTCAAGACTTCCAAGTCCAAGGAATGGAAAACCATTCCGTCCTGCGTCCTCACTCAAAAGCGAGCCCGACTCGGACTTCCCTCTTCCCACGACCAGTTCTCCCCACACACTGAGGCAAAAAGGAGGATTCGTCTCCTTCCGTCTCGGATCTTCTAATACTCACTGCCAAGGCGTGCTTTCTACCTGAAAAGGATGCCGATAAATTTGATTGATTAAAATTGCAGAGTTTAGTGGTTCGGAACTCAGGGGCAAAGAGGGGCAAGATGGACCACACGAGAAAAGCAGCTTAATTCTTTCCAAATTTGGCGAAAGAATCGATCTTTGCAAGGTCGAAACAAATGGGAGGAAGCAGTTCTGAGCTTACGGTTCAACCCTGTTCATAACAGAGGGCGGTTCCTTTTCTTTAACCATTTCTCGGATCGATTCTTCACCAACTTGGTGGAAGAGAGTGCGTTTACTCTTTTGTGAATCCTCGCCTACAGTATATCGCGTTAGCATGTAGGGCTGCTAATTCAAAAGCCACTACTCAAGACTTCCAAGTCCAAGGAATGGAAAACCATTCCGTCCTGCGTCCTCACTCAAAAGCGAGCCCGACTCGGACTTCCCTCTTCCCACGACCAGTTCTCCCCACACACTGAGGCAAAAAGGAGGATTCGTCTCCTTCCGTCTCGGATCTTCTAATACTCACTGCCAAGGCGTGCTTTCTACCTGAAAAGGATGCCGATAAATTTGGCCCATGGCTCTTCCATAGCACAGTCACCATGAGTAAGGAGCTATCAGAATTATATTTATTCCTTGAAGTGACCAAGAGGCTCCAGTAATGTTAGTTAATACCAGGGAAAATAGCAAGGTATGAGCCATTAATTGCTTTGATGTATTCCTCGAGGTCAAGGAAGGGCTTCTCGAAGCGAAAAGGTGTGGTGGAGAGCACTTCTTCATTCCTTTGTGTTTTATTCTTGAATTTGTGACTTGGTGTCACTGCAGACTCGCTTCATTATTGTTACAGGAGGAATTACGTGAGTTCCAATAAGGAATTGATTGTCAGGGTGAATGAGCACTACGTACTTCTGATTGTCTTATATCTGTGCAAGCTGTTCTTGTGACCCATGCCTTGTTTCCTAGTTTTCGGGGCCTAAACATGCAGGATTGAATTTTCAATTGTTTATTTACTTGTTTTCCCAAAGGATATTGTGTCGTGTGGCGGGCCACAAAAATGGACAATTTACGTTAAATTTAGACCGAAAGTAGGGAGAAATAATAATTTAGCGGCTAGACTGAGGCAAAGGGGTCCGGCCTCTCTCCACAAACAGGACGAGCCGTCTAAGGAGACGACTGATTACAAACGAAATTCCAGAGCTCAACAAGAAACGACAAACCTTTAACTAAAGTTATGAAGTAAGAAACATCACAGCCAGATTGAAGTCCGTAAAGACACACCGGATTCCCAGAGACAGAGGACGAAAGAAGAGAAAGAGTTTGAAAGACAAACCAGTTAAGGTTCGTGCCGACACCATCCAGTGTGGTCGACTGGTCAAAGATTCCTGGTTTCCATCAAGAAGAACGTGGGAAACATCAAAAACATTTTGTGAATAATTACTTGGAGCCCTTGTGTCTTGCTGAGATTCAATTGATTCCATGAGAAGTTATTAGAACAGGAAATACAACGCTTCGATCTGGTGTGAATATGGTGTGAATATGGCCCACCCTGTAATTAAGGGTTTCATCATTATCTTGTCATCATTAATATCGGTAACGACTTTACTACCTTGCTTGCAAGTCATTAAAGTGACTGCTCCCTTCATGAAAAAAAACTTGGATCACAAAACGAAACCACGACTATTATGAAACAATATCTCGTATGAAAATAAGGCGAGGGTGTGTCCCAAGCGAAAACCTCGGAATCTGTTTTCCACACTTTTACGTTTCTTCGAATGAATTTCTCCGCTCTACAGCAGAGAACAATTTTTTTTTCCAATAGATATTCCTCGACCGGTTTTTCTGCGGGTTGTATCGAAGATGCACACTCCGGGAGTGACCAATTTGCTGGTAGGGGATTTCGTCTTCAAGACGCTCTTACTCGTTCAGGATTTCGTTTTCATGGAAACCGGAATTCGTACGGGGAAGAAAGGTAAGCATCTGGTTTTCTATCGGCAACACTGCTTACCTTTCATTCATGAGTTATTCTAAGTGAGGTTTCGCGATCACTGTTGCATGAATTTTGTCCATTATTTGAGACGAATACGAGAATTTAATTCTCGTTCTGAGAATTAGAATATTCCCTGGTATAGACCGTACAAGTGTCTTATGTATCATAATTATTTTTTTTCTCATGGCTCTCTGGTTTTGCGAAGGTGATTGGGTGGTTCGCAACGACACGCCGGAGGCTCAGGTAAGGCAATTGCGTTTTATGATGCAATTTCTTCCCATCTTTGTTGTCGGTAATTGGTAATTGGTCCTGCATTATTTGAGGTTGATAAAACAAGGAGGCGATAGTAAGTATAAAGATTCCCTGACGGTGGAATGTTTCATGTTGAAAGTACTTGGAAACCTGATTTTTGCAAAGTACAGCCGCAATGGAGAATGTACTTGGACCAAACCGAAGCTGATTTGAAGAAAATGATGAAGAATCTCCAGTCGGCCGATTGGAAACACGTGGAGCACTACGAGGGCATCGCCCTTTATTCCCGATTCGACTTCGAATCGGAGCGACACCTTTACAAATTTCAGGTAAAAACGATGCAAATCCTTAATGACTTCCCAGGCTGAGTTCGCATTTTTTTTCTTCGCAGACGATATTTCCCTACGACTACGAATGGACGCTTAGGATGACCTGGATGACCATCAATGATTCCCCCGAATGGTGCGATGACGTCATCGACAACGTCATCCTTCAGGTAACTTCCGCTGTAGCACCAGATGTTGGCCCGATCCAGGACTAATATCGGACCAACGTACTCAATGTCGGTCCTGCATTGGGCCAACATCTTGTGCTACTGGGATTATATCTACAAAACTTGGGAAATAAATGACTAATTTTAACCAAAAATATGTAAATATTTTCATGAGCAGCTCAGATGGGAGTAGTTGCATTCAGATGTAAGGAAGAAATGTGAATCATTCTGCAGCCAGCAAAGTTTTCCACAGGATCTGAGCGAGAACTGCAGAATATTCAACGCCGCATCCCGAACTCAGACATTTGGGTTCGTCTCCGATCGGGACTTCGTGTCCATAGAGTCATACGAGAAAGTCGGAGAGGTCTTTTACTGGACAGTGTCCAGTGTCACCTGGCCGGATTTCCCGCTTCGTCAAGGCTTTGTCAGGTTCGTCCATTTTCCTTCTTTAGCCCTTTCGCAGCGGCTGATGGCAAATGGTTTCCTTAAACCCTGATGCGATTTGGTACTCCACCCGGAAAGTGTTACAGTATGAATTTCCCAGCCCGACATTTAAAAAAAAGGAATAAACCCACGACTGCTTCTTTTCAGAGGAAAAGCGGACTCAGGAGGAGGATTCGTGTTTTCCCCACACGGCGTTGACCATAAGAAAACCCTCTTTCAGTTGCTCCCCATGGTGGATCCCAACATCCCTTTCCTTCCGCGAGCGATCACCGACAAACTCTTGCTCCCCACGCATAGAAACTTCGTCGTTCGACTGCGAGACAGACTTTCCTACTTGCACTCCCTCTCGTGAAGCGTTTCCTCTCGCTGTCTGACCCTCATGCAACAGTTATGCGACCGCATAACTGTTTCGCGAAGCACAGCAGCGTTCCTCCTCCCCATTTTCAACACCTCTACAGGAAATGATGAGTTATCGGTTGCCGCTCGTCCCTTCATGATGGCTTTTTAAAGATTCATAAGTGATTCAGACCCATCCATCATGGATTTAGGAGTTTTAAATTTAGGAAACGTCACGAGGGAACGTTTCGTGAATTCACGAGAATGCATTCTAAAAAATTGTTATCCTAGAGGCAGAGAATATCTTCTGCATAGTGTGCAATTCTGTATCGATGAACTCATTGTCCCTTGAAAGTGCCAGTGCGTCTGGATTCTTGGATGCAGGCATTTGTCCACCACCATGATGATTTTTTTCTGAAATATAACTAAATTCGACAATTGAACTATTTATTTCCCTCACTGAAAAGGTATTCGTGATCATTTAATAACTGAATGACTAAATGACATTGTTCTGCACTGAATGGTGTCGGGTTTAACATTTTATGCAGTGTATCTCCGGTTTCTGTCTTCAGGTCAGGTTCCATCCTACACCAAACAGCACCGGAACAAGCAATGAATGTACAGTGAACGTTCAATTGAAGGTAATACCAAAGCGAAATAAATGGAATGCGCTTGAAAATAAGAATAGGAATTCAGGCTTCCTCCAAAAAGATGAATATTGTAGTCAGAATCAGAGGCCTCGCTGCATGACGGCCCCTGACACGGGGAAAAGGGTGTCATAGGATTTAACACAATTTAAATGACAAATTGTATTCAAGTTACTTGTTAGATAAATTCTAAGAAGCAGTTGATTGAACTTTTCAATGCCACTTGGGAACATTCAATTCACTTCCTTCCTGAACGTTCAAGGAACGCACAATTCGAACAGCTTTTGAACGCACTAAATTTTGGACATTTAAACAGTCAACAAAACGTTCCCAAGGACGTTCCTTGGGAAGGTAATAGCCGGTCAATGTCGCGAGAACATGATCATAAAAAATCGTTCTGGGAACTTTTGTATCGCATCACTGTGCTTCCTATTTTCTTGGCATGATCCGATGGCACAGTCGCACGTTACGTGAGTCGGGATGAATTCTATCGAGTTTAATTGAGTAAGGATTAACTGGAAACATGCTTTTAATCGTTGCTTCTCACGCCAGAAAGCTACATTAAAGGAGAAGGAAGGTTGGAGAATGGGGTGATGAGAAGTAGAGTGAGAAAAAGGGGTAAATGATCTGTGCAAAGTCTCGAAGAGGCGTTATTCAAGGGTTCTTCCGTGGTTCCTTGCGTGGTGCCTCCCATCTGGGCGCATCCAGCTGTTCTTCTCGCCGGATCATCAGGTTTGAGGGCCATGTGGTTGTTGTCCGAATCATTGCAACAGTCTGTATCGCACAAGCAAGCGTATGCGCTTGGGAGAGGATAATCGAAGTTCTTTCCATCGAAGCATCCAACTTCTTTCCACTCGTACATGTATGCCACGAACAACTCCCCTATTGATGAAAATCATCGTCTCGGTGCACCATAAAGATATACAGTTCTGGAATATACTGACCGTGTTATCATGAAATAAAAATAAGTTTAATAAACGAATTTCCAACATTTACTTCTGAGAGAATTTCAGGATTTCCATAATCATTATTATCTTAAACTCAATTTCTATATCAATCGAAACTTTTTCTCGCATACGGTATATAAATGACGATAATGTGGAAAGAACATTAAGAACATTTATAAATTCCCGTTTTGTAAAGTATCATTAGATTTCCTAAATTATTTCGCACGGAATCTTGACTAGAGCGTTGTCTCACTTTTCCTGCTGAGCAGGCTCTGTCTTCATGGTGGGAAGAAGAGTGGAGATTTCATCAATGAAACAATCCCCCAATCCCCCAGACAAACCTTCAGCATCGGGGAAAATGACTTTTTCCCGATAATTTTTTCGCTTCCGGATGTCATGACCTATTCAGGATTTCTTGCTTGACGTTTTAATCCCAAGCTTAATAACTTTGAATGACTGATCGAATCCAACACAGATGTAACGATCAGCTGCAATTTTTGCAAGCCATGCCCCGAGAAAATTGCCGCTCCCTCTAAGAAATGTATTCTCAAAACGAGGTGGAAGGAAATGTAGCCATGCATGGAACTTCGAATGTTACCTATCGTATCGGCAAGGCACTGTTTGATTCTAATTGCTCATAGATAAAAAAAAATTTCTGCCATTCCCATTTTGAACTCATTCACCCAATCAGATAAATCGCTGAGCAAAATGAAGGGGCAGAATAAAGGAGCAAAATAAAGGAGCAAAATAAAGGAGCAAAATAAAGGAGCAAAATAAAGGAAGAAAATAAAGGAGGAAAATAAATTCATCGTTTCATAACCAAACGTAATCTAACTCAACCTAACCTAACCTAACCTAACTTTTTTTTAACCCTTTAAATTTGAATTATCTCACACTGCTGGTTCTGCAAAGGATACCTTTCAAAATGGCATATGATTCAATGAATTCGGCTCAACAGCCAAAATTACATTATAGAGGGAGGGGCAGAAATGAGTGAACTCTCGGGAGAATGGTTTTCGGGAGAGCATTCCATAAATTGCGCTCATTTGATGTAAGGCATGCATTCCATCGGAGAACAGATGAGCCAACAGAGAAACAATGAGCTCTTCTATATAGAATTATAGAACTGTGACCATTTATGCATCCGCTTTTGTTCGGACATACTATATTTTTCGGAGGAGCAATACAAATATGATAATAGGTGTTGGCTTCTACACCTCTATTTTTGCCCCTCACGTTTCTCACGGAAAAACCATCTCCTACCTCACCCTTTTGATTGAGCCATCATAGAAAAAATTTAAGGAATTTTCAATTGCGGAATAACCCAAAACTGGTATGAGCAACTTCACAACAAGAGCAGATGAAGTTTCGCCCCGACTGGCTCGATTGCCCTGAAGAACCGTCTTCATCTCAGTCCGACTGACCCTTGAGGTCAAAACAGTTCCAGTAGATGCTGTCTGAGTGTACGAGGAACAGAAAATGAGACGGAAGGAAACCCTAGGACGGGCTGGGATAGTCGCAGCTCCTGCTCACTCGAACGCAACGGCTGTAAAGATCCCGGATCAGGAAAGTTGGATCGTATAGAAAACCTATGGGATTCTTATTAGAATCGAATAATATTATTTTAAATCTTAGAGTCTTTATATGGGTATACTCCTTTAGTGTTCCCGACACCTAACCTCGAAGGACTCAGTCCAACCCCTTTCTTGAGATCCATAAAACAAAACATTACTGGAACACTCCATATATCTTTCAAGAACCTAGTAAAGAGGCAGCGTGTCGTGTTGTCTTCTCAAAATATCTGCATCCTCTTTCATAGCGCCTTCGCATTTCCTTGTGCCGCAAAGTACTACTCTGATCATTAGCAGCCAGAAATCCACCAACTTTCTATCATTAGCATTCAGCATGGCTTCACCCAGACGGCCCTACTCGAAAAAGCCTCATCTTTTACGACCTGTCTTATGATTTTTCCAATTTTCACAACGAGATCACCGTTTCGAATCTTTATTCGTGTTCCATGCAAATTGCCTGCCGGATCCAGCCCACCAGTCCATTTTGTTCGGCCAACGAAATCCTCTTCCACAGTTGGCTACGGAAAAGTGATGCAAATTTCAGCCTGCTTGCATTGAAAATTAGGTGTTATGTTTTTTTATTGTGGCCCCCAATCAACCTTGAAGGCTTTCACCCGGCCCCGCCTGATCGAGTTTGACCTATAGTCCTAGAGGAACTCATTGCTCGGCCCGTGGACTTGAACGGTAGCGGATCCATTCCCAGGCAGCACACCACGTTACGCCCATATTGGCTGCGAGAAGGGGAGTGTGGGCCCACATGTTGGCCCCACTTCGACGCTAGCCAACATTTGTCCTTTCTCTGGACGAGGCATCTACCTCAGTTATTTGAACGAAAAAGTTTCCCAGAAATGAAGCGAGATGGCGCCTTTAGTCATATCAGGTAGTGACTCTTCATAAGGCCCCAGCACTTTTCCGGCCGTGCTTCATCTTTTCCCACGGCGAACGTAGGGAAAGACCCGAGCTCCTCAATTCATTTATTCGAGCAGGTTAAGCAGTCCAAGGAGACTCCTGGCAATCGTGGAGGAAGCATGGTTCAAAAGCGTGGATCCGCTTCGGGGATGGAGATTCGGGTGTGATGAGAGAGAGAACCGTCAAAGAATTTTGCTGCTCGCTGCTTCAACGATTCTTTCTCCGCATCTTTCATTCTATCGTGAACAGCCGAGAAAGTGTTGCGTTAAGAATAGATTTGATTCCATGGGAATTTCCTTGATGCGTTCAGATGTACGCAAGGAAACTGAGCTTGCATCGTTTTTAATTTTATAGAGAAAAAAAGAAGGAGCGAAACTTTTAGAATGCCTCTGGCACGTCATAAAAACGTCCACTCTGTTTGAGTCCACAGGAGCACATTGAATCATTTTATTCCTTCGTGCACAGAGGGGACATTCTGAAAGATGGAAACCGGCCGAACGAGGCGAGGATGAAGAAATGGAGGAGAACCGGGAGGCAAGAGGCGGAGAGGGCCACGGCGCCAAGCAATGCCATCAAAGTTGCCGTCCCACGTGCAGAAAAGGGAATTCCAGCCTACATGTCGGAAACGACGTTTACTATTTCTCAGGTAGGCATGTTCTTCCGAGAAAATCACGTAATCACATCAAGCCAAAAAGTACTTAAAACAGACTTTCTCTCAACATCAAGGAAATACTCTTCGTACAAGTTTCCTTCCGTTTGAAAAAGGAGTTTTCCTTGCCAATCCAAGAGATGTGAGGGTTCTCCGCTCAATGATGATCCCCTCTCGTCTTTCATCGATGGAAGATGCCCTATTTTTTTTCGGATCACGTAAATTAAGACTCGCCTTTTTTTATTATTTGCTCGTGGCTTGCGATGAAAACCGATTGAGCCAGTAAGCTAAAA